AAAGAAAAGTTAATCTATTAAAAGATAGGAAAAGAAAAAAAGAAACATATAAAAAGCAAGGTAAGTAGAAGGTACAAAATACAATGAAAAGTTAAATCTAAATTCAGTAATCACAATGAATTAAATAAACTTGCCAGTTAAAAGATGGTCAGCATGAATTTAAAAAAAAATTTTGTATGTGATTTATAAAATACTTATCTAAAATATAAGACTGGGCTTCCCTGGTGGCGCAGTGGTTAAGAATCTGCCTGCCAACGTAGGGGACACGGGTTTGAGCCGTGATCCGGGAAGATCCCACATGCCGCAGAGCAGCTAAGCCTGTGCACCACAACTACTGAGCCTGCTCTCTAGAGCCCATGAGCCACAACTACTGAGCCCATGTGCCACAGCTACTGAAGCCCACGTGCCTAAAGCCTGTGCTCCGAAACAAGAGAAACCCCCGCTCATCGCAACTAGAGAAAGCATGCAAGCAACAATGAAAACCCAATGCAGCCAAAAATAAAATAAATAAATTTTAAAAAATAAAATAAAAATATGAGAGCATGTTAAAGTAGAAAGTAAACTGTATGCATAAAGTTTTTAAAAAATATTAGAAGTAGATATTTTGCAAAGTGGTTATTTACTGTTTGAGCATTAATATTTTCTATTTTTATTAAGCTATAATAATTATAAATTTTCCAGTTTTGTTTAAAAATGGAAAAAATCTATAATATTAAATTTAATATGCAAATCTCATCTACTTATTAACTTTTAGTACTCGTAGAAGTACTACATTGTTCTTGCTGATATAATACTAAATGATTCTGTTGAACCATGAATTGCTCAGCCCTGAAGGTAAAAATTACACTGCTTTGGGGATAAACATGTTTTAAATCAAGTAATTGCTCAGAGCTAAAATCTTCTACTACTTGCACTTTGTTTAGAGATGAAATGAGTAAGACTGGTTTCTTAAAAGCCATGGAGTTTTAAAAGTGCTATTTGTATCAATAAGTGAAGTGAAACTGAGATAATCTTAACGAAGACTGTTTTAAATGCAAAAGTCTGTTTCCAAAATTATTATTAAACTTCTAATATAGTAAAAACTCATAATATCAAATTTTTTTACATTTGTGATACATTTGTAAGTCAGACTGCCTGTATTGACCCTGCTTGGCTTATTTGTGAAATCAGAGCTTCCTAAGCAAATGAGTAGTGTTAAAAGGAGTTGCTTAGGTAAAACTAAACTGTTTTCAACTGTTCTGCGTATCTATTTAATACAGAAATCATATACATAATTGTTTTAGGCAGAGGGAAACTAACAAAACTGTCACTTCACTGTACTAATTACAAATCACTTAATTTTATTCTATCAGTTAGAACTAGATTTATCTTAGGTAACAATTTATTAACCTTTATTAACCTAAGTCTCTTTAAAAGTTGTTCCTTTTAAAATCTTTTATAGTTCATATTTCACTAATTCAGGTTGGTAGTCTATTGAGTCTGTTTTCTGAGACTTTCTTTGATTACGGGGCATAAAATGTCATAGATATACTTAAATCTTTGAGAGTATTTCTTTTGGTTCAGTTCATCCACGCTTATACTCCAAATCAGGGTACTCTTAGCATTTAGTTGTCCTCTCTAGAGGTGGATGTTACTCAGGATTTATGGATGTTGGTGTTTTGTTCCTTGGTCTAAAGTTCTTACTCTTGTGATGGGCCCAATACAGAAATTTTTATCTTACCATTAATAAAGTTGAGAAATGAAAATTGTTATTGCTGTGAATCAATGAGGTCAAACTTAATTTCTTACTAACGAGAGGGTTTTCTTCAGAGTAAGAAAGAACAGAAGCTTGGCATCTAATAGTAAAGTTAACTTTGTATTTTTATTTAATTAAAATATTTATGTTAATTTTCTTTCATTTCTTCAGTCATATTTCTTGTCATATATCCCATTTTATTTCTCAAATCCAGTTGCAAAAAGGTCTAAAGTACCTTCTGGGAAGCTTCTTAGTCTCATTACCCACCTCCTTAAATTATAATCTGCCAGAATAATTTCAGTTCTTTTGCAGGAATAAAGGGTGTCATTGTTAGCTTCTTATTTAATTAATGACTAGATATAATGCAGAAATGCACGAGGTACATGATAAGCACATAGCAACTGCTCAATAAATGTCAATTAAATTTATTGCAGGGTGAGTATACCCCTTCTGTTGGAAGTACTCCATTAAGAATTAATTTTTATCAGACTTCATTTTCCTTCTTCCCACTGTCTATTTCTTTGATCGCCCCTGCTCTTTCTGTTAACATTTTCTTTAATTCCTAGGTAGAGAAATCCTGAGCTAGAAAATGTCTAGTTTGACTCCAGCTTGTAGAGGGCATTATTTTGTTGTTAGCCAAGGGATCTATTTCATGAACATATAATCTCAAAAATACTTCCCTATGTCTTCCATTGTGGATTCATTTAATTTTAGCTATATGGCTACTTCTTAGGAATCAAAAGAAATCCAGAGAAATTATCAGGTGTAGTAATTTTTTTTTCTTTCTTGGAGGATGACTCTCTTGGAGGATGACTTGGAGGATGACTAGGGTGGATGGAGGATGACTCTTGGATGATGACTAGGGTGAAGGAGAACATTCCAGCAGAGAAAACTGCCTACAAGTTAGATGGTTTAGTTTATGGTTGCTTTTCTTCTGCAGTCAGGACTTTGAGAGCAAGGGAAATTGGGCAAGTTAGGTAGTGTCTTTCCAACTCTATTCGATGTATGGCTTTATTAGAACAGATACTTGCTCTATAATGTTTTTCAAAGTCAAATGTAGGCAATGTTTGAATTGTTTTGTATTATATTGCAGTATGAAATTGAGAATTAACTGCAATATGTATTTCGTATTGATATAAGGTATAACCTGACAAAATAATTTTTTAATTCTCAAATTATGTCTTGTAAGTATTTTGCATGGTAGTAGAATTCATTTGAGTTTAAGTTTGATTGGTTTTATTGTTTCTTTAAATGTAAGGATATTTTATGATTTCATAGAAGGAAATTTTTAGAAATGATAACCCACTCATTTAGTTAAACCATTTCTCTTGAAGTGGTAACCCATTTATAACTTCATGTATATTTTTAGACTCATACATATATTTACTCTTTCAGGTTTATAGTACTGCTACTTTCTGGTGAAGGTATAATGAACATAATTTAAAATTCTACATAAAATATAGGAATACTATTCAATTAATAACTAGTAGATTATCACCTAATTCTAGTTTAGTGTTGTAGCTTTTGAAATTACTATTACCAGACAATATAAAGCTGTTCTAGCATACATCTAATATACTGTTTCTAAAGTGAATGAATATGTATACAGAGAAGGAGGGATTTTGGACTTCTTAGAGAAAGCAAGATAGAGAATCTTATTTCAGATGACAGAAGACAGCACCAAAGTCATCTTAATTTTTCTAAAAAAAAATCATCTGATCTTGTTTCATATTAAGATTTGACTTTTAATTATGTTGCTGCTAAAATTATTCTCTGAGATACTGTGCATAGATGATTCAAGATATTTTTGAAACACTCCTTAAAATGACCATTAAAGCCTATTAAATCATCACTTTTACTCCAGACATCTCTGTCCTCACTTGCTTTGCTTTGTTTAATAGAAATAGTGTATTAGTTTTCTGTTGCTGCTGTAACAAATTACCATAAATTTAGTGGCTTAAAACAACACAAATATATTATCCTACAATTCTTGAGGTCAGAAGTTCAGTATGAGTGCCACCAGACTAAAATCAAGGTGTTGGACAGGCTGTTCCTTTCTGGAGTCTTTAGGGGGAGAATCCATTTACTGCTTCTTTGAGTTGTTGGCAGAATTCAGTTCCTTGCAAGTATAGCACCTAGGTCTTGTTTTCTTACTGGCTATAAACTGAGGATTATGCCACCTTTTAAAGGCCACCACATTTCCTGGCTCGTTGTCTGCCTCCTCCATCTTCAAAACCAGCAATGGCCTGTCGAGGCCTTCTCACTTTGCATCTTTCTGACATACTGTTCTGTAATGTTTTACTTATAAGTATTTATATGGTTAAGTTGGGCCCACTCAGATAATCCAGGGTAATATCCCCATCTTGGGTTCTTAACCTTAATCATATCTGCAAAGTCCCTTTTACCATGTAACATAACATATTAACAGGTTAACAGGAGTTAGGATGTAGACATCTTTGGGGAGCCATGTTTCTGCCTAATATAACCGGTAGTACTAACTGGTGCCTCGCTTTGCTGGATCAGTTTTCCTTTTCTGTTTGGAATACCTCTGACTTTTCCCTCTTTGATTCATGGAATACAAAAGAAGTGTTAGGATTCAGCAGAGTCATGATAGTACTATATTAGATATAATACCTATAGGGAAATTATAGGGAAAAGAGAATTCTAGAAATACTAAAAAAAGGAAAATATGCTTACAGAGTATTGCTTTGTAAAATAGAAAGTCCTTGTGTATTTTTGTGTTTATATTAACTATTTCGAATCCTTAGTATTAAGGTCCATAGTTATTCAGTACACAGCAGCAGGAAGTAAACCAGTAAAGAGCCTCTTAATTTAAATTTTTTTAAATTTATTTTTAAATTTATTTATTTATTTTGGGCTGTGTTGGGTCTTCGTTTCTGTGTGAGGGCTTTCTCTGGTTGTGGCAAGTGGGGGCCACTCTTCATCGCGGTGCGCGGGCCTCTCACTATTAGGGCCTCTCTTGTTGCGGAGCACAGGCTCCAGACACGCAGGCTCAGTAGTTGTGGCTCACGGGCCCAGTTGCTCCGCGGCATGTGGGATCTTCCCAGACCAGGGCTCGAACCCGTGTCCCCTGCATTAGCAGGCAGACTCTCAACCACTGCGCCACCAGGGAAGCCCAAGAGCCTCTTAATTTAATATGAAAATATTCCAAGATAGATATTCAGAGCAATAAATTTTAATAATTTATGTGAATTTTGATAATGGACAACTTTGCATCTTAATATGTTATTTCTTTCCTACTTAGATCATCACGAAGTATGTATACGAGCTCCTGGAAAAGGACTGTAATTTGAAAAAAATATCTATTCCAGTAAGTCCAATTTTTAAAAATATTTATAGTTCCAAATAAAATAGTTTTCAATTCAGAAGAAAACTTTTGTTTTAGGTTAACTGTGATAAGTTTAAATGTTAAGATCCTAGTGTTTTGATATTGATAAAGAAAATATTAAATTCCTGTCATTATATCTCATCTCATTGTTCACAATAGTTCTTAAAAAGTAATATTCTTCAGTGTAAAGAAAAACTGATTTCCAGTCTTTTTTGAAAATGATGACACAAAAGGACTACCCTTTCCTCTACCTTTTCTCATTTCATTGCTATAATTTATTTTTACGTATTTATTTGAAGTAAACCAGTATTCCTTTTCTTGCATTAGACATTCACCATCGCTTTAATTATTTCTTGATTTTTTTTTAATTATATGTTTTATTTCTCTGTTATTTCCTCTGCATATCCCCAGATTCACCCCTGGTGCTTCGTGTTTCATAACACTACTCATCTCTTTTTTGGTAGAACACTTTTTTGAAGTTTTGCACATTTTGCCATTTCAGAGTGAAAAAGTTTGAAATTTGTTCTGTGATTCAGCTTCTCAAAAGAACTTTTTTGTTTTTAATGGAAAACATGAAATATTAAGTGTTTAAATGAAGAAATAGTAACCTTATGTGTGTATTGATGGTAGACTAGATGATCTTTAAGGTCCCTGACAACTCTCTGATTTTACAATCTATATGAATCTCCAAGACTTCATGAAAGTAATTTATTTAAGGCACAAAACTTTGAATATTGATAATTTTGTTTACATGAAATTTTGCATGAAATTTTAAAGTTCTTTGGGCAGTGTTATTCTACTATGAATTGGAGGGTTTGAGGATTTTTTAATGCTATCCATCCTCCCAAATTAATTCCATAAGTTGATTTTTTTTAAAAAGAAATCTATTTTATATTTAATTTTCTATAGGCAATCTCAAGTACTAGGTCACATTGTTAATCATTTATTCATTCATTCAACAAATATTTACTTTAGGGTACTAGGTACTGTTCCAAGTGCTAGTGACATAGCAGTGAATAAAATATTCAATATTATTCCACGTAATGACTAGGCCAACCCTTGTTTTTTTGAAACCTTTCCTTCCTTTTGAATTATGTGAAAACCAAGATTTTAGTATCTTTTGGGGAGTGAATATAAAAGTCTTTTTTGGATTCAAATCTCTTTTAGTTTTGACTTTAGGTCTAGTGTCTTACTCTATTAAAACTATATATTGAATTTTGTCTTCTGGAAAGTTAAGGTAGAATTTTGTCACTTTGTCCAGTCTTCTTTTCTTGTTAATTCTATTTCTTTCGAAGTTTCTGAAGAATGATATTTAAAGAGCCTTAGGTTAATTCATTGTTACAGCACAATTAATATTGAGTCCTTTAACTCCGTAATACTTCTAGTTCCATGGAACCTTTAAACTCACTTTAATTCCCTAGATTTCTAGAACAAATTACAAGATAATTGGCCATATCTCTCATGTTATATGATTGCCGTTCATTAATTTTCTTTATAGAAAGCCTGAGATTAGATTTAGAAGGACTTCGATTATTTTCCTCTTTTTTAAATTTAGACTATAAAGTTACACAGAGGGAGCTTTACGTTATATGAGACCTATAACAACCTTCATGTCCATTTTTGGTTAGTAAAGATTCCCTAATTTTATAAACATTAAGGAAACAAGAAAATTTTTATTTTAGGAAGTTTATCTCTCCTTAGATTATCATCACATATTTTATATAGTTGTGAATTTTTCTTCCCTAAGTATTAGTTTTCTCCTGAGTTCTCTTAAATCCCAAAGCTAGCAGTGAGAGTGGGGTTTTTTTGTTGTTGTTCAAAGTCATTTTTTTTTACTACAGGAATACCACCAAACTTTTTTTTCCTGATGATAAACTAAGTTTTAGTGTTACAGTTGAAATATTTAACAAAGAAAGAAAAACTTTTTTTTTTAAATGACAGCACTTCGTGGAAGTCCGTGATTGACAGATCATGATCATGTCTCATGTTTACTTTCCACCTCACATAAATAGGTACAAAATATTCTCCATTTTAGTATCTCACACTTGTGTAGAATACTGGATACATGAATTTAGCTTGACTACAGATTTGCATTCAATTTATTCAGTCATATTTAAATAAATATCAAAATTAGTGATTTTCATAAGTATCCCAAAGTGAATTGTTAATTGCTAAAAATTGTTTGGTGCAGTCTCACTGACCAATTGGCCTTTGAGGTTGATTTGTCTCTAACCTGAGGTGGTACACTGGAATGACCTTTATGTGTATTCCTTAATGAAAGCTCATCTTAGTAAATTACCATTGTTTGAAGATAAATGGCCTTGGAACAACCATTTCAAAACTTAAGTTAATGAAGGAAAAATTATTTTATTCATATAGATATTTTTCTATTTTAAATTAGCACTAATTTTACACAGAGTAAATTATAGCCACCAGCTGCAGACTCACAGTTCTGCATTATATTGAGATGAATATGTCAATGACCAGCTTAAATACTGTTCTTATTCCTTAATCATTAATACCATTACATTGTTCATTTTCATTTTTTTTCCTTAAATACTCTGACATTCTGATATTTTCAAAGTCAGCATATCTGGATGTTCAAGTAAAACATTTATTCATTTGTTCATGGCTGCCTTGACTTGTAGCCCCTTAAAAAATTCTTGAACAGTGGTATGATATAAAAAAACACATGTTTATCTTCAGAAAATAAGTACTTTTCCAGTTTTAAAGTGATTACTGTGGAATTTAAAGTGCCAACATTCCATTGCTTAAAAAATTGACTCAGGTGCTTGGTAACAGGGGACTTAGTATGATGGAAAAAAGAAACAGTGATCAGCACCTGCTGGAAAGTCTATAGCTAGGGGTTTTTTCATTAAGATAAACAGATGTCCATTTCCATACATTCCAGAATCCATTAAGGCCTCCCTGACTTTAAGAGGCTCTTTTATTTGTGCATATTTAGACATACTTTTTGGTAAATGAATGACTGGAAACCTCTGTAGCCTCTTTTTTATTTTTCACTGACAGCTTTGCTTTTTAATTTTTTCTTTTGTTCTTATCACCATTTTCTTTTTTTAAGCCATTTTAACTGAATGATTCATCTGCTTTCATATAATGTTCCTAGGTAAAAGGGAGTTTTTTTTCTCAGAGTTGGCTTTCGTCTGTCTCCCATCCACTTTTCTTCCTCTGTGACTTCAGTCGTACCCATTGTCATCATAGTAATTTGTTTATTCTAGACGTCACATGCAAGTGAAGCTAATGTGGTAGTGTTATACTTCATACTTCTCTTACTGCATATTTAATTACTACTAATAAAGATACAGATATGCCATTTTAATTCTAAGCATTGTGTAGTTCTTTTAAAATTCTTTGTAGTCATGCATTCATTTAATCTTCCATTTGTGCTTTCTGAACCAGGCAAGTATTGTAAGCAGTTAAGAGGATGCATTATTTAGTTAAATGCCTTTTATCTAAAGGAATTCACTAGTGATGCTTGATAAGATTCTTTATTCCAAAAGTTCATTCATTCTTATATAAATGAGTGCCTACAATGTGCCAGCCTTTCTTCTAGGCATTGGGAATGTAGCTGGAGACAAACAAAGGTCTATGCCTTCCTGGACTTACATTCTAGTGGAGGGAGCAGATGGTAAATAATAGAATATTATTAAAAGCATATTAGATTGTGTTATGTGCTATGGAGGAACATAAAACAGAATGGGACTAGGGAATTCTTGGGGAAGTGTTTAAATGGGGTAGTCAGAGAAGGCTTCACTGAGAAGGTGGTATTTTTTTCTTAAACCCTGTGGCCGTGCTCTTCTTGCTGAAATAATTACCTTTTGTGCTCTGTTTACACAACTGGCTAAGCATCCAATACTGACACCAATCTGATTGTTTTAGAAACAGGGAAATTTAAATTTTTTTGTGTGTCCCAGGAGTAGTGACTGGGAACATTTGGAATCCAAGGCATTTTTTGGTATTGAGTTTCTTTCTTTCTTATTTTGGTAATTTTATGAATCTATATTGTTGATGAAGTGAAGTGCTATTGCATTACCCAGCATGTGGATTGACTTTCTCTATTTGAGGAGGTGTTTATTACCAGCTGTCAAGATTTTAACTTGGCTCTGACCTGGTTGCACAAAGGCTGCCATTCCTAGTTACTTGCCACTGCTGATGTGGAATACCACTCAGTGCAGGCCATGGCATATGTAATAAGAGGTTGGGAAGTTATCCCTTTCTAAAAGTCTTTTGAATCTTTCAAATCTAAATCATACATCATCTAGTATAAACCTAACTATTAAGTGTAATCAAAATGACTAAGAATGTTCACTTTTCATACCATAAATAACTAGTACATAAAATAAGGTTATCAAAGTATACAAATAATATTCCTTCATAAAATAATTGTTATATAATCCTGTGTTCATACTCTGAATGAAATTTCAAAGTCCATTTACACAGAACAGTTGGTGTTTGAATTTTTAAATAGTTCCCCCTCCTACTGTTGTTAAAAGCTTAGTAGTTTTCCTTGCTAATATATGGTCTTCCAATATGTGTATTCTCCAGCTGGGTTTTTCTGGTTTTTATTTTAGGTGCAGCATATTTCTATTATAACTTATAGGCTTAATAGCTGTGTGACCTTGGGCGAGTTATTTAAACTCTCTAGGCTTCAACTTCTTCATCTATAAATGAATATAATAATAGTGCGACCTTAACAGAAATAATATTTTTTAAACATTTAGCATAGTATCTAGATCAAAGGAAGCACTTAAAAATTAGTTATTCTTTATAATGATAATATAATATTAAATATACAATAATAATGGAGAAAGACATATTTCCAGTATTCTTTTTTCATATTTTTATATGTTTAAATTACTATCATGTCTTTTTTTGCTCCTCTACCTTATATATAATTATCAATCTCTAATGAAAATTTTATTTTAAAGTTTTTTTACTTCTATAATTCTGTAATAGTCATTCTATAATTTATAGTAACCATTAGTTGTTTTCTCATTTGTGTCTAAACCTGATCAGAAAACATTTATTTATTATTTAATTTTTTTTAATTACAGGTAGATGCCACTGAGAGTGAACCAAAGAGTTTTATCTTTATGAGTGAGGATGCTTTGACAAATCCACAGAAACTGATGGTTTTAATTCATGGTAGTGGTGTTGTGAGGGCAGGTCAGTGGGCTAGAAGGCTTATTATAAATGAAGATCTGGACAGTGGCACACAGATACCTTTTATTAAGAGAGCTATGGATGTAAGTGCAATTTCCTTTATTTTTTTTTGGCATTTTATAGCTCTGTTTTAGTATGTGTTATAAATTATTTTATCATGTCTTTTAAAAAGTCTTTCCTAAACATAGTCTTATCTTTAAATTGTTCTTATTTATTTTATTTGTAGTGAAAGATTATTCTGTATTATTTTGCCTTTACAACAAGAGCAAAAACGCATCTTAAGTATACAAAGATTTAGATAAAATCTTTGAAATGAGTATTTTCAGTTCTAAATTTTTTCATTTCTTATTACATGAAATATCAGTTAAATTATCAAATACTTATGAATATTATTGAAAATACTTCTGAAAAAAATCATGACTGCTTTTGTAAATCTCTGCCTACCTGATTTAGTGAAGTTAGAGACTAAAGGAATTCTGCTACCTTTAAATTAATATCTTATTCTTAAAAAAAAAAGAGTTGGAATAACTCAGTGTTTTTTTGTCATTAAAAAATAAAAACAAAAAACAACTCTTTAGAGCCCACAAATGTAATGCTTTATGAATAAGACAAAGACATACAAAATGGTAAATTACAGTATTTACTGAATTACTTTCTTCTTACTTGAATTTCAACTTTTTAGAAATTGGTGTTTTAAAATTGTGTTCAAGGTTTTGTTTCCTGTAGTGGTGAAATTTCTTTTTCTGACCTAGCTTTGTTACATCTTAATATTTGGCGACTTGCTTTACTGTCTTATTCTTAAGTTCTGCAATGAATAGTTAAATTTTGCAAAGTTGGTTTTCTTTCACATATAAGCAGAGGTTTTCTTCAGAAAAATAAAGGTAAAGTGACATCTTTACTTATAAAAGGTTAATATAATAATGGAAAGTTATCACGTATGCTTTATAAGAGCTACATTTTTGTAATTAAAAGTGGAAAGATATTATTTGATACACTTATGATTGCAAAGGTCGAAGATATGTTTCCTACTTTAACTCTGAAATGATAAGAGTAAAGCTCAGCCCAGCTCTTAAAGAATATTTTGTTAATAGATTTTGAGGCCCTTAAAATGCTGCAAGTAGAATTTCATAGGTGAATTGTGTATTTTTTTTTTCAGTCCCCATGGATGTGCAAAGAACACAAAGACATTACTTTTGATGCATTGCAAACTTCGATAGTGTGTTTTTTGGTAGAATTTAAGTAACTAAAATAAATTTATTTAAACTGTTTCATATTTCAGGTTGTGAATAGTGAAATGAACTTACTCTCTGGCACATTAGTTAGTGGTTAGAACAGATGCTGTTGATGTATTTTAAGAACTTTACATGTGAAATGTGATCACAATTTGGTGAATATTTGAACATACAATTTAGTAAAGAAAATCAGATGTTTGTACAAACACGTGCTTGGTGAGATACTTTATGTAAATTATATTGTCTGTGCTACTAGATCAACTAAGCCTTTCCCATTCTAGAATATTTTATTGTTGTATAGAGTTTTTTGAAGTATAGGGAAGTATAGGGCTATAGAGTATAGAGTATAGGGAAAGCCATCCCAAATACCTTTGAACAAACTATCTGTTGAGATCCTAAACAAGAGGGAGGAGGTTTATCAGTAACATTAGAATAGTCAGTCATTTTGTCCTTTTAAGTAGGAATAGTGGGGGATAACAGCATTTCATTGCCTTGCCATTTTTGTGCTTTTCTCAGAGCAGCTCAGGGTTCCTTGAAATAAAGCAGCTGATTTCTAAGTTCTTTAGTATTTAGTGTATGTTGTGTACTTTGAAAAGTTTAGTTTATATACTTTATTCTCAATTTTATGAACTTTATTCTGGTAATTTTCTACATGGTGAACATTTAAAAATGGATATCTTTTTAATTCAGATAAAGTGATTTTATTACTTTGACTTTACTTTTTCATGGTGTTTCTCTGGTAATTCTTCAAGGGCTGCTCTGTGTTTGTGTGTGGCTGGAGGGTGCGGAGACAGGTGGGGGAAAGGATGGTATTTTAGGAAGCAGGAAGAGGAAGACTAACAAGGAAAAAGAAGTCTCATTCTTTTTAATCAGATTACTCCTACATGTTTTTATTTTCTGGACTTTTTTCTAAAATTGTATTTAAAGAAATGTTTCCATAGTTTACAAAGGGCTGGGAGCCACTACTCTGTTTTCCATGGTCTGTCCATTTTCATGTCGCAACTGCAGTAAATTCTGATATTTTTCAGGCCAGACAAGATTATCTCTACTCAGTGTTGTTAATAATATTTATGCTATATTCCTTGCAGATTTTTAGTATAAGATTAAAGGTCCTAAAATAGGAGTCATATCATGGTAAGGTTAAAACTTTTTTCCAACACTAGAACCCTGCCTTTACTGGACTGTTTTGTAAAAAAAACAAAACTTGTGTTTGAATCTGTGGAGCCACTTTGGTTGAAGCTGAAGTGAAGATTGGAACCATTCTCACAACAGCACCTGAGATTTATTCCCTGACCCTGGGGCTCCATAGATGACAGTTTAAAAACTACAGATACTCTAATCCTTGCAGTTTGCTTAAGAACTTTATTATTAAAAATGTATTAAGATTTCTTGTTGGAGAAATAGTACATATCAGATAAATGCCCACAGTGCTTCTCAGGAAGCCATAGCTAATATTTTCAGTGCTTAAAAATCTTAATTGCATAATATATTAATTGGAGTAAGAAACAGTATATCATATAGCCAAGTACTAATTATTCAGTGTCTGATTGTGCAGTTTGAGATTTTCTCATACTTATTTCTTCTTTGATCTTTTCAGGCATTTTAGTTGATCTCCATAAAAAGGGCAAGGAAAATAGGTGACAATTCATTTCATTACTAATTGCAGGGGTGGTACAGGGGTACAAAATTTAAGGGGTCAGTCACTCTCATGATGTGCAGTCCTTGTAGGACCGTGAGAGCGAGTGCCTCCTTAAATTTCGCACCGTAGACATGTCACCGATCTCTCCCTATCCAGGCTTTGACTGATTGAGATGTATATACTGTCAAAAAGTTTCATGGGGAGCAGTTTGGAAGCCCCTGGTCCAGGAAGTCAGATTTTTACCATGCATCAGAATCACGTGGAGGGCTTCTTGAAACAGATTGCCCTGTTCAGATCCCAGGTTTTAATTCAGAAGGTCTGGTTGGGGCCTGAGAATTTACATATCTGAGAATATCTCAGGTGATGCCAGTACTGCTCATTGGGCACCACACTAGAACCATTGGCGTAGGTAATACTTTTTGGATTGGTTGAGAATTTATATATACTTTTCAGGCTTTAGGTGTAATGCATAAGGTGGGACTTGATGGCAATTATACTTAGTGTGACAGAGGATGAGAAGTTCTAGAAAATGTTTTATAATAAAATCAGTGAAGTAAAAGTTTAAATTATAAAGAGTACTCTCAAAGTACAAGCGATTCATATCCAACATGACTTAAAATTTTTTAATTTTAATAAGTTTTTGAGAATTCTGATAACTTGACTAAGCCTACGTTGTTTTCTAATTTCTCATAGCTGGATTATTCAGAAGAATCTACTATTTCCGTAATTACTTACTTTGCATATAATTTTCATACTGTTATATCAAAGTTTTTTAAATTAATGCTATTTTTATCAATGTAATGTATACAATTTGGGTTCTATAACATGGTGGACTGAGTTAATTAACAGTCACTTGTCCCTCCCACTAAACACCCATAAAAATAATGGAATAAGACATAGCAACAACAAAAATATTAAAGACCTAGTTATGTTCAAAAGATAGAAAAAGAATCTTTAAATTCCTGACTACAAGAAAGAACTTAAAACCCCAGTGGTAAATCCCTGGAGGGTGTGGCAGCCCGAAGGTGATATTTGATGAGATATAAGACCTAGGCCCCAAGGGGTCCACAGCACAGCTTTGAGCCTGAGAGGCAGGATCTAAAACTAAGACCCTGGAAGCTTCTGCCTTTTTAGTTTTTAGAGGTGCAAAAGTCAGTTTGCCAGAGGTGCCAGGTGGGGTAAATAAACAGCCTCCCCTGAGATATAGAAGCCACAGATCCTAACCCAAAGGTGGATTTAGATTTGCAGTTTGAATTGAGACAACTTATTTAGTGTGGGAATCTCAAGCAGTGTAAATTCATGTAAAAATGGACTTTGGACTGATGAAACTTCTGGGTTACCAAGTGGAAACAAACATAAAAGTGCCAACAGCAGCACTTTACAATTCAGGGTAAATCCCTAATGAAGAAGAATTTGTAGTCAGAAACTAAAAATTATTTGAGGAAATGATTCATTACAAAGAAAAGTCAAGTCAAGCAAAACTATCAGGCATCGTTGAAGAGAGTTAGTAAATTAAAAGTTAGCATTGGGGAATACAGTATATAGAATATAGCAGAGAAAACCTGAGAAAAAAATTATGATAGATAAAAAGTCATGGAGAATAGAATGAGATCTAATAATCCTCTAATAGATGTTTCAGAAAAGCAATAGGAAAGAATGGGAGAAAAAGCAATATATTAGTGGTAGAGTGTTTATGAGAATAAAGACACAAATCTTTGTAGAAGAAGCATGGCATATCTTGAGCAAGACAGATAAATCTACACTTAAAACTTATTAAAATAAAACTGTAGAACATCAGAGGATACAAACATATAATCTTAAAAATCAAGTAAAAACAAATGACATACATCAAAATAAAGGTTATCCTTTCCTAATCCTTCCTCAGCTGTTAGTTCTGTTCCCTAGATGTAATAACTCTCAATACTTTTTGGTTTTAATTATATTCTCTATATCAACATTTTTTAATTATAGTGCTGTCTCTTGATTTATCAGTCACTTTCTTTTATGGCACATAAGAATCTCTTTCCCATTCCCACAGTTTTTGGATTAATTCAGCAATCAAGCTTTACAGTATTACTACTACTTTAATATTGCTTATGACTGAACCAAGTAGGTACTGTGGTTGCTACTCATTTCTGCTACAAGTTTATTTTCATAGAATTAATAATTTCCTAACTGTTTTCTGTTTTCTTTGTAATAGTTGTTAATTCTG